ACCTTAGAAGGCAGCTGCCTTATGCCGCCTGCCGAATGGGACAGCACTTGTCTCCAGAGCACAAATGCTGCCTTAGAATGCTGCCTACTTAGACAGCAGCCTCCCGACTGGAACGCAGTAGTAGATTCCTCTCTGGCTTTTTGGTAATATTAATATTAATCAGCTCTAAACTGCTGCAGGTCTCCTGACTAACTATGAAAACGGGCCTCTTGTAAAGGCTCAGGAAAAGAAGCCAGCATAGCACTGATACATTACAGTGGTTCCCAGCCCTCATCCTGGAGGACCCCCTGTACTGCACAGTGTTTCCCCTGCGCCCAACACACCTGATCCAACTAATCAGCTGATTAACAAGCCCTTCATCACTTGAAGTGGGGGTGTTTGGAACAGGGAAACTACTCAAATTTGTAGGGCAGGGGTCCTGAAGGACCAGGGTTGGGGACCTGTGATGTATTGCATTTACATTTAGTCAGCTGATGTTGTCGACAGTGAGGTCCTCTGCTGGGCCTTTCTGAACATGGAAGTGTTGGCCTCCCACCACCTCCAACCCCAAAGCCTATCAGAGGGTGTTTACTGTCTTGAAGACAAAATGTAAATCTTGTAAATATCAATTATCTGTCTATACTTATATTAAATCTGTTTTATATTGTTCATGATTGAAAACTGAATTATTGTAATAAAATCAGTTTAGCTCAGTGTTTTGGCCACCTACCTGTCAGTCCTGCTCCCCTACATCAGTCCTGCTCCTCTAACCATCACCATAGTTTACACAAGACAATAAAACCCCCCAATGCTAGTCATGTTTCTTTATTACACTGTTAATCATTTCCTATATAAACCTGTTACATATACAAATGATGTACAACAATAATAATAAAACAACGTGTTTAAATTGTAAATGGACACCCCTGTGAAATTATGAAAACTCAGGGCATGTTTAAAATTATGAAATGCAGTGCCTAACAGCAACATTTTACTGATGTAACAGCTGTAATTTACTGAGCTCTAATAAATGAATTAAATGATAAAATATTGTAATTACTAATATTTATGATAAACAGTAAATGGAATTTGTCACTTCTTACAATTAATTAAGCTCAATTAAGCTTACTTTCAAGTAAGTTCTATCTCAGTCTGTTCATCGAGGGAAGTACAGAGATAACGGAAAGGTCAGTTTTTGGGGGGACAGGTGGGCTTCAGGTCAGAATAATGTGCAGTCTGGTACAGAAGTGCTGCCACATGGCTGCACAAAGCTGTACCTGCCACACAGGAACACTGGCAGCTTTGCAGCTGCACAAGAAGGGAATCAGAATCTGTGAAACACACAGATCTGTTACAGTACATACTGTAAGTGCTGCGAGAGCAGTTAAACAATAAACGAGTGAACTTTGGTTATAAAGGGGAACGACTGCAGGGTTAGCAGTATCAGATTCACAGCACTGATACGATTCACAGACACTTGATTTGATGAACAGGGAAAATGATCCGGACTGAACCCTGATTTTCCCTAGTTCAGTTAGTTCTGTTAGCTCAGTTAGTTCAAACAGCGTTTATTAAAAAAAAGGAGAACACAGGAGTTCAGTAAGAAGGTCTGAAACAAACAAATATGAAACAAATAACAGTTCATATGCACTAAATGTATAAAGGCTCAAACTGATGCCAAATCATTATTAATCTCACTTCACTCATTTAGAGCAATGAGCGCCGGAAGTGAAACAGCTGGCGGACTCGGACTGCGGAACAGGAGCTTTTATAGCGCCTGTTAAACTTCACCTCAGAGAAAATGTGGAGCTGCTTTGGTTTCAGTCGCCTTTCTTTCCTCTGCCGTTCCCGCGCTTTCTTAGCTCCGTTGCTATGGTGATGAATCATACGAGGCTGAAGCAGTGATGGGGAGTCGATTCCAAAAGAACCGATTCTTCGACTCCAGCGCGTCAGGGAGTATGAATCGACTCTTGGCCAGTGACTCAGTGAATCGAGACTCTTCCGATTCTCAGAGGAATGAAGCGCTAAAATGTTGAATATTTGAGTTTTACTTTTCAGCCGCGTCTGGATTTAAAACACAGCGCGGGTCATTCAGCAGAGCAGAGCTGAGCGAAGCGGGCAGGTCAGAGGAGAATCGAGTGCCGGTCAGGAGTTTTAGACCAATCAGATCCGGCGGGAGTGTTTACCTGGCCGCGCTCTGCAGCGCGCGCTCTTTCCGGCGCTCGGGGGGTCTGTTTAAACCGAACGCGACCGTTACGAGCTGCTCACAGCGACTCGCTCACAGCATCAACACCAGCTGATTTACCGGTTTACTCACCGATAAAACCTCCTCCAAACGGCGCTCACAGTCTGTATGGAGCCGCTCGGGACCTTTTTCAGCTCAGAGCAGAACAGAAACGAGGATTGTTCAGCAGCGCTGGATCAAGTGGAGCTACAGCCTGGATTAACAGACTTCAGTGGGCAGAATCCGCTTTAAAAGGAGAGCAGTGCTGAAATTAAACCGCACTAACTATGTGTGCACTATGTAGGGAGCAGGGAGCCGTTTGAGATTCAGCCCCAGCGTGAGAAAAGTGGCGTCGTCAGACTGACAGGAGACTCGCGGTGGTGATTTGGTGACCAAAGATACTTACCTCTTACCTCTCGTGGCTTATTGCTTTAATATCTTAGGTGCATTTTCACTCTTTAATAACGCATTTAAATGGCAAAAATCAAATGCTATCAGTGCCTCTCCTCTTTATAATTATGTTCTTGCCATTTTACATGTGTCTGTTTTGTTTTACGGAGAGAAACATCTCACAAGAAAACACCAAAAGCAGAAACTAGTGAGGCTTTTATTTATTTATTTATTTATTAGTGAGGCTGAAGTATTTATTTATTTGCATATTATTTTACTATTTTTTAAGGTTTAGATTTCTTATATGCCAAATACTGTAAATTTGCATCGGCCCACAATTCTTTTGTGGGTTTTCAGTGTGTATTTTTTTTTTTTCATGAAGCAAATAAACCTGTTTTAAATGTCCAGCTGGACCCAATGTCCTCAAGCAGTGTTTAACTGTGGAAACACCACTGCAGTGCACAGCTTTACTGCAGCAACAAAATAGGATATGTTAAAATACACCAATGTTCAACAGATGAATTAATGTTTTGTTAAAGGTTTTTCAGTATAATTGGTTAAATCTATGGTTACCAAACAACATAACCATTTTTTATGCCATATTAATGCAGAATTAAATGAAACAGCATCTGTCCATTTTAGATCCAGAACTGTTTATTTCATAATTTATATCTGATATAATACAATATAATATAATACAGTACTAGAGTTAATTAATATATAATATGCTTCACTATATTTTAGTTTAATAATCTTATATTTGACCTCAATAATCTACTTTTAAATGACTAATAAGCCTTTATGATTAGTATTTTGGTTCAGTCAATCATGAGATAATGTGATGGCCTGGTTTATCAGGTGGACTCATTCTTATTTTGACAGTGCCGTGTGTTTTAATGCTCAGTTGTCTGTGATTCCTTGGAACTGACTGCTGCATTTAAACCTCATAGATCCACAGCTAAACCACTACTGAGTGAATGACAGAACAGTGAGGATGTAATTTTGCTACTGAAAATGTATGGTTTCCCCCTGAGGACTGACTCAGCTGGTCCCTCCAGACCATCTACATTTTTACTCTGTCCAAACCCAACACAGGAACAGAACAACACTAAATGGACTGTCAAGACTTGAGGACTGATTTGAGAACTGCTGCTCTAAGATGAGCTGGATCGAACTTTATAACATCCTCACATGACTGTATTTTCATAGTACCTGAATTTGGTAGGAGAACCGTGACCCTCTCAGCCCTGGCGGTGGGTGATTAGTATTAAAGTCAGTGTGAGTCAGAAAATATAACCCATTTTCACTCTTTACTGTGACGTATTTCTGAGTTGAGCTTAGGGTCTCTGAGGGGCTCTGAGCGAGCTGAGAATCTGTCTCAACAATAGGTGAGGGTGGGGGGAGGGGCATGGGAAACATGACACGATTGGTTAATATTATTTTTGTTGCGCAGCAACATAATCAAGAATCAGAAGATGATTTGGTAAAACTTTATTTCTGAACATCATCTGACAGCATATGACATCTTTCATGATGTGTTTATGGCATGTTTATGTCAGTGTAATGTAGTTTAAGTGAAATGTTACCGATGTTTTAGAGATGGACAGAAGTCTTTATATTTTCATGGTAAGATTATGGGAAACAGGAATTGTGTCTTTTAAACGATATCATTCTTACCCTGACCGGGGAAACTAACCAGGTAAAAGAGCTTAATTTTGATTTCAGATGGACTTTAATGTTCTTACAGATGCTATACTTGTATTTTCATTGCTGTTCTTTTACGGTGTAACTCTGAATAACGTGCTGTCTGAGAGTGTAGATGTAGAAACCTGTACTGCTGAAAAACTGTGACTCAGTCAGAGCTTTAACTGGAGTCAGAGAGCGCTGACACCTTCAGACCCCAGAACCCAAAATGTTCAGTTGAGTTCTAGCATTCATAACTTCAGAGCAGTTTAAGCTACAGTCATGATACACATATCAGACCATTCAGCAGACCCGGTGTTACGGTACATTCAGTTCCACCTGTTTCCTCTCACTGTGCATATCGAAATCATGACTTCGCTGACGCTGCACTGTGGGGCTTAGATAGGCTGAATTCATTTGTGTTAGTAGCTACTTCGTTCTTCTCTTTGGAGTAAACAAATTTTTATATTGTTTGTAAAATGGTTTGTAGTGAAATGTGTTTTAAAGTATAAAATCTGTTGTTTACAGGTTTTTCTGAATGGCTGACCTGGAGCTCTTGTACTCTAAGCTCCGCCCCAGCCTACAACAAACAACAACCCTGGCGTACATAACTAATACACACACACACACTGTACAGTAACACACACCTGGTTGCAACACATGACAGTATACACGTTACATACAAAGATCACAATCCCTCTAACATATTTCCTTTTCTGTACAGGACCCACATGAGAGTGGACCCCCACTCCCTACGTCAGTGGGTCTGTCCGATTATGATAAGAGGAGCCCCAGCTCTTGCCGACATCCCCTAAAGGACGCACGTCAAAGGAGTTCAGGTAAGTAACCTTTTACATGACTTAAATGTCCAAACTTCTGATGGTCACACTACCAGTCTCCCGCATGTGTCAGGGCTGGTGATGGAGTATAAGACTCACCACATCACACTGATTTCATGTTTATAAGTTTTCATCACCATTTTTCCTCTTAGTTTAATAATAAATAGGCCTATCAGTGATTAAACTGTGGTATAATGACAATAATACACTCAAGGTCGTGCTCTTAGGCGAGATACTGGTGCTGGTGTGAACACCTGTTTAAATTATGTGCCATCATAACACTGTATCATAAAACTAAAATGATAACATAAAGCAATAAATAATTTAGCAGGCGTTTTATTACTTTAGCAAAATGAAAAAATAAACACCATATTTTATTATTTAGAATAAAACTAAAAACAGGAGCTGTGCAGACTGTGACTCTGGAGAGCTGAAAGAGGAATAAACACAGACTCAGTGTCCTGAAACAGTTTGTCTGTTTAGGTCTATTTTTAACAGAAACAAATCAACCCAGAAAAAAGACCCTCAGGGGTGTCGCTCGGACACGTTTAGAGGATTTTAGACCAGATTTCACAGCGATCACAGAGCAGTAGGAAAACACAATAACTTTAAATCTATTGAAAATATTTAAACTTAATACTTCAGAGTTGAATCAGATTAACCTAAAAACCCAAAAGCATTTTGTTTTACACTGTTTCACATTAGAGCAGTCAAACCTAATGAACACAGAGTGAAGTCCAGAGCACTGAAATCTGCAGCTTCTCTCCTTCTTTAACTGCGGCAGCTTATAGTTACTTTCAGTTTCGTTTCAGTGTTTCTTCATACATGATCCAGTGTCGCCATCTAGCGGTAACAACATGCTAAACATTTACACTGTTGCGTCCTTTTGTCCTCTCTCTCTCTCTCTCTCTCTCTTTGTCTATCCCTCTTGTTCTTTCTCTCTGTCTCTCTCTCTTTCTCTCTACCTCTCTCTCTCTCTCTCTAGCCACACACACACCTATATGTGTGTAATATAGAGAGAAGAGTGTTGAGATATGAGGAATAATAAATATGTTCAGTAGCTGTTATTATCAAAGGTAACATCGACTGTGACCTGTTGAGGTCAGTCTTGCCAAGTAAACCCTTGTTATTTATTCTGAATTTGGATGAGGCTTTTAAAAACATGGCAGTAGTTTAATGTGTTGTTTATATATATCAGATATCAGATAATTCTCCCTTAGACAATGAATAACAATGAAACGGTCAAACACGTTTAGTGTGGCGCTGAATGGAGGTAGAAAACACTGAAGCACAATTAATGGATTTAATGTCTCTGAAACACCAACATTACCCAGCCTACTCTGAGCACTGCTGCTAGCAGGCTGGTGTTTACTTATTTACATTTTTGTTTAAAACCCAAACACAGTGTCCTGTAATTACCTGATAGCAAAATGCTGTCAGAATAATTTGATCTGAACAGTTTTTAAAAATGATTTTTTAAGATGGTTTTCAAGATTTTCAAGTTACACCTCGTAGCTACACTCACTGGCCATTTTATCATTAACATCTATAAGCGCTATTTGTAGGTTTACAGTTACTGACTGCAGCCCATCTGTTGCTGGATGATTTACAAGCAAGAAGCTGGCCTGGGGTGTTCAGTCCTGGGGTCTCTTACCATTTATCATTTTTTACTTGTGTGTGAGAATGTCTGTATATATAGAATCACACTAGTCTATGCATATGCAGAAACCCCTAGTGGTAGAAAAATGTAAACACAGGTAAACCCATTATGCTCCCACTAATTCTCTGCTCGTCTGCTGGTATGTTGTAAAAAGTGTTTTGTCAGTTAAACCCAAAAATATTTAACAAGCAGTCAAAGAAATACTTTGACTGATCCAAAACAAAGTTAAATAATACTTCAGATGAACAAAAGTGATATTTTTAAACAACCCAAACCTCAAAACCAGGTATTTTACAGTGTAGAGATGAGGTTGATGAAACAGGTAACACAGAAGACTGATTTAGGCTCATCGTAAGTTGAAGTAAAATCATATGTAAGTGAAGATGCAGACAGCAGCTGACTTTGACATGCTTGAAGCTTTGAAACATCTAAATTGTGTTAGGCATTTTAGCTTTTGTTCATGTTTTATTCATATTTTTCATATCAGAAATTCAGTGCAAACAAGTAAATATTTGAACTCAAACATTCTAACATTAAAAATTCAGTTTTCCTTGTAGGAATTATATTCAAGCATGTACACTGAGCTCTAACTGAATAGGTAAACCTAAACATATTGAAATTTAAATAATTAAACAATCACTGAAAAATAACAGTTTGTATCATAACAATGGGAAGCAGCTTTTTATCCAGTAGATAGTCACAGGTGTGAGATTCCACAGGGTGAACTATATGGCTACATACATCTTTCAGAATCTTTGGAGTCCTTTACATCTCTTAAATATCATTTCATAAACAGTATAACACAGATCACATACGTCATCAAACTCAATACGCCTTTCTGAAGGAAACAGCTCACTGCGTCACACATATTTCAGCGATCTCTGTAATATTAACTTTTAAAAATTTAAAACTGAATTTTTAAATCATTTAATCCAGCATTGAGGGCTGTCGTCACATAGTGAGCATCAGACGTAGATATATTACTGTATTCCTGTGTTCTTCTCTGTTAATAAAAACAGATTTTAAGTTCTTATACAGTTACTTAGATACATGTAGGTCACACAGCCACCTAGTCATAGTAGCTGAGCTGGGAGCAGCCATAATACCTTTTCAATACAATGTCATATTTCAGCCAAATTCAGAGTAAATGTAATATTATGGGTCTGTTATAAACAGGAGTAACAGTGACACACTGCTTCACAGTCTTATGACACTGAAAGGACACGGTGCGTAGGATACATACTATTACTGCTAATTCAGCACCTGGAGCCAATTAACTGCACAGCTGCCAGTAGATCAAAATAAATTAACTCTTATCAAATCCACACAACATAAAAGTTCTCATTTCCTTTTTAAAAGTTAATATTACAGAGATCGCTGGTTTATGTGTGACGCAGTGAGCTTGTTCATGTTTGCTGGTAAAAACAGTAGATGGAGGCCTTGTTTGGGAATGTGACATTAGCTAATATTAACACAGACTTTTAGCTCTTAATTCTGCAGCTAATATAGCATGTAAACAGGTGATGGTAGAGCAATGTATCCACATCTGATGCTCACTTTGTAGAAGATATCTGAATGGTGGGCCTCCCCACTGCCCTGGTTATAAGCACAGTCTTTCAACCTCCACTCTCAGTTTAAGGCTCAAGTTATTTAGATATTAACATAGTTTAAGCTTCTTATTCTGGTGTATTTAAACAGCAGAATGTATCAGATTTTAAGTCAGAACAGAAAATTCAAGAAGGTAGCAAATAAAAAGCCAACTTTAGACTCATGTTTATCAGTGACTCCCAGACTGATAGACCAGAAAACCTGGCCACACATTTGATTGAACACTTTCTCAGTCATGTATAATCCTGTGTACATCAGGTCACGTATACAGAAAACAGTAAACATCACCAATGGATATACTAATCTACTTCACTTGAAAAATAGCTAATACTCTTTAGTTGCCATGTTCAGATGAAGCCTTTTCCACTGAGGCTGTTGGTCCCGCCCTGATGGGATGATTGACAGGTGAAAAATGAAATGCAATCAAAGTGAGTTTTAAAAATCATTTTGCCACAAAATGACAGCCGTAGGTGAAAACATGTGATTGCAAACAGGAGAGGCTCCGTTTCCCTTTTTAGATTTGAGTTTTATCAGCTTTCTAGCTCGATCTTCTCTTCTATAATGTGATTTCAAATGCATTATTACAGAGTGTAAATGTATCATTTGGACGCCATTCTTTTATAATAACATAAAGCATGAATATGCCGTTCTGGAAAGACATTTTCATTTAATTGAAAAATAATAAAGTGCTTAAATCTCTGTGTAAATGTGTCAATACTGAACCAAATGCCAAAAAAAAATGACTGCATTACATTTGAACTTTTATTTTGAGCCCAATATTGCATACAAATATATTACTCATTTTGCATATCAAATTTGTATTTTAATTTCCGTACTCACCTTTATTTATTTTACCAAAAAGAAATTTGTTTTCTAAAGTGTGATTTATTGAACCTTACAGCTAGAGAGTGTGACAAAAACAAAGACCTTTCCACACAAGTTTTACAGAGCAAAGTCAATAAATATATAAATAAACTCACCCAGATTAAGCCCAAGCCTGTATGAGTGTACTGTTCACTGTATGGACTCAGTTCTTCCTTATGTAGTTTGATTAAAGTGTGTGTTTAGGTTTTGTTGGTTAAACTGAGTTGAACATTATCAGCTTTATCAGGAAACCCTGCAGCGTAAAAGGACAATCAGTTCATTACTATTATTATTATTAATAACACTGACTGACATGATCATTTTTAATAACCGGTATATGTATGCGATCGGTGATGATCATGATTGTATTACTGCCTCAGTGTAAGCGATTAACATTACATCAAGGACAGAATGAGCTACAACAGATTTCATACAATATTATAATGTATATTATAATGTACAGGAAACACTGAGACTTTTCACTGGTTATAACACTCTAACACATGGTATATAGAGTTACTATAAAAGTGTATTCCGTTTACCGTATAATTGCATATATCCATTTGAAAATATCATGAAATATTTTACTGGAGTTAATCAGGTAAATAAATAAGTCCTGTGTAGTTTGGAATAAAAAAAATGAAATGAATATTTTATCTTGTACTTTTCTGTACTAAGTGTGTGATGTAGAATCACAGTGGGAACACAAACTGAAACTGTGTTTCATTCAGAGGGTCACTGATCTCATATTTAGTGAAATGGCCAAATGTGGAAATCCAAACATAAAGATGACAAATCAGTGTAATCTGTTTAAGTTCAGACAGACAAACTCTGAATATTAATCACTGAAAAAGTTCAGAAACCAAGC